ATGTGCATTTTACACTGGTACACTGTGACAGATGTGGATCACTGGTACAGATGTGGAATTTACACTGGTACATTGTGACAGATGTGGACCACTGGTACAGATGTGGAATTTACACTGGTACACTGTGACAGATGTGGATTACTGGTACAGATGTGGAATTTACACTGGTATGCTGTGGCAGATGTGGATCACAGGTACAGATGTGGAATTTATAATGGTACACCATGACAGATGTGGATCACTGGTACAGATGTGGAATTTACACTGGTACGCTGTGACAGATGTGGATCACAGGTACAGATGTGGAATTTATACTGGTACACCATGACATATGTGGATCACTGGTACAGATGTGGAATTACACTGGTACATTGTAACAGATGTGGATCACTGGTACAGATGTGGAATTTACACTGGTATACTGTGACAGATGTGGATCACTGGTACAGATGTGGAATTTACACTGGTATGCTGTGACAGATGTGGATCACAGATACAGATGTGGAATTTATACTGGTACACCATTACAGATGTGGATCACTGGTACAGATGTGGAATGTACGCTGGTACACTGTGACAGATGTGGATCACTGGTACAGATGTGGAATTTATACTGGTACTGTGTGACAGATGTTGATCACAGGTACTGTGTGACAGACGTTGATCACTGGTACTGTGTGACAGATGTGGATCACTGGTACTGTGTGACAGATGTGGATCACTGGTACTGTGTTACAGATGTGGATCACTGGTGCACTGACAGCTGTGTGGGGGACACTATGGGGTGATTGGTTCTGGATTGGACACAGATTGGTTCTGCTTCTCTACACTAGCGGGCTCTGTGCGAGGAGAGGCAGAGCTGGTCAACACACTGGTGGTTTTGTTGTGATTGGACACAGCCATCATGTGATCAGATGGGCCAATCATATAGCCCTTCTGTTGAGCAGTGTTACTCTGTGTCCAAGGGACACAGGCACACCCGAGAGTGCGCAGCTGCGTGGCCATGTTCTGAGGGACGTTCAGGAATGTCCACTCAGAACGGTGAAGATCCCACCTGGCCGTTTATGCGCAGTGACCAGGTGAGAAGCAGTTAAAGGAACAAAATAAGGGTTTTGATCTATTTAAAAAACAGATGTTGATGGATGAAGAAGTAAATGAATGTAAACTGATGTAAATGGATGATTATCCATTTACATTCGTTTTTCTATAGAGATGCATTGATGTCCATTTTTCATCCATCAGTGGATGGTGATAAACAGACAAATAGTCTGAACATGTGAAAGGGGCCTTACATGTTCCACATATTTAGGGCAGAACATGTAACATGTCCAAGCAGCTTCAGCCCCTCCCTATGACAGTAAGTTGGAGATCTACTACCTGCGCCCGCTGTCTCAATTTAAAAAAAACATGGCTTTGCAGGGCTCTGCCCACACAGCCACATCATTGATTCACCTGTTTTCTGAGAATGCACAAACTACAACTACTATTAGCAATTGCGTCTGACTGCTCATAGTTCTGAATGGACTGCAGGGTCACTGACAAGAGGCCTTGTAGTTCATTTACAAGCCCTGCAGCCTGCAAACACTCAGCCCGTATGAAGGTCTGGCATCTGATCATAGGTGCAATGCTTTCCAGACTCTTTAGGGAAAAAAATTTAAAAAATCTAATTTTTTTTCCAATTAAGAATATGTGCATATATTATTTTTTCCCAAAAGGTGAACTTATCCTTTAAAATAATGTAATATGAGGACAAACCTAAACATCCATTCAATTATTATCTAATTGTGTGGGCCCCTAGATGATAGATTATTGGTTATTGATAGATCTAAAGGGGATTGTACAATTAGATTGTAGTGTGTATGGTCAGCTTAACAGCTTTTGGGTAGGGGGCGCACAACAGCCTTGTGTACACCCTACCCACACTGCCATTCACGGCAGTGGCTGTCAATCACCAGATCCCAGCTGGTGATTACTCACAGGTGCCTGAGAATCTCCGATGCGGAGAACTGTTGGTAAACAAAACAGTTCTCCTCCCTGTCGACTCCTGCACACTGCTTTGCATGGCTGTGCACAGCATAGCCATGCAAAGCAGTGTGATTACAGCAAAACACATGGACAAAGCACAGTGTAAAACAGCTTGTTCCTCATGTTAACCCCTTCCTGCCCAGTGCCCTTAGTACAGTGTCAGTGCTTTTTTTTTAGCACTGATCACTGTAGTGGTGTCACTGGGATGTCATGACACCAAGTCAGTTCCCCCCAGTGTCAGAATGCCCACCACAGTCCCGCAGTCCTGCTCTAAGTCGCTGATTGCAGCCATTACTAGTAAAAATAATAAAACATTCACATAAACCAATTAATTTACATGTGTTGGGATTTTTTTTTAGCAAAGACATGTAGCAGAATACATTTTGGCCTAAATTTATGACAAAATTAGATTTTTTTAAAATTTTTACTGGACATGTTTAATAGAAAAAAGTCAAAAAGATTTTTTTATTATCAAAATTGTTGGTCTTTTTTTTTATGGTGCAAAAAATAAAAAACACCACCAAAAAAAAAGCTCAATTCGTGGGGAAAAAAGGACATAAATTTCATTTGGGTGCAGCATTGCATGACCATGCATTTGTCAGTTAAACTAATGCAGAGCTGTAATGCAAAAAATGGCCTGGTCAGGAAGGGGGGTAAATCCTCAAGAGAGCAAGTGGTTAAAGACTTGAGAAAAAACGTGATCCATGTAAATTGTGGGGACTTGTAACAAACCTGTTTCTGTTCATAAGTATATTCATCCGTGTCCTTGGAATTCTGATTTCTGAATGGGAGTATCTATGTTCAATCTAATCAGCTGATGCATTTTCAATGTTCTAATGAGCTTCAGTGTCTGTATCCCTTTAGAAATAATTAACCCTTAGGTAGTATATCATCAAACATATAATTCCTGTTGCAGAGGATGCCTAAAATCTTACTTGTATCCTAGTGCAGACTTCTGGAAAATTCAGTGAGCCAATTACACAAACAGAAAGCTACATTCCTGGGGAAGTTCTGTACACCGACTATGAACAGAAGGCCTGCAGGCTGCCATATTGCACTGAATGATACAGAAAATGACAGCTCTGCAGATTGAAAAAGAAAGGTAATTTTTCTTAATAACATTAAATTATAATATGGCTTGTGTAGTGATTATATACAGTATGTTATATACATTTTTTATTTGTTGTATTTTTTCACAAAAGTGGAGCTACCCTTTAAGCCATCAACAATGCTTGATTTACTCTCTTCTTTAGTCAGTCTGATTGACTGATACATACGTCTCACACTTCCAGTTTGAGTGTTGCTATGCATTTGGTCAACAGCAGGCTAATATTAAGACAGATTCAGGTACTTGCTAAGTTGTATTTCAACACACATTCAAGTAGGTTTCAATAAATATACAACTGCAATATATATTTTTTATATCTGTCTGGAGCTCAGTTTTTAAACCAAATCATCATGCCAGTCCTTTGCCAACCACACATATTTATCAGCAAAAGCATGCTTTAACATTAAATCACTAGTCAATCTATTTATCTTTCTATCTGGCCATCACACATACAGAGTATCTGGAACTGCACTAATTATTATTGCTCTTCACATAGTTACTGAGTAAAGCTGCATGAAATGCCTTAAAGCCTCCAACTGTCTATATCCAAGTGTAAAGTTGAAGAATTGTCTTCTGAGGATTTACACTACATGTTAACACATACATCTTAAATAAAACATCTTCCTACAGGTTCCTGATATATTATTAATAAAGACTGTAAAGGTGATATATAACTTTCACATATTTGTACTTTTGATTAAAACCTAAATGATGTAACCATATTTACCTATAAAGGTAATTGCAATTTGTGTTAAAAAAATAGATGTTTTTGTTTCACAGACTTTTAACAAATATAGTATTATCATTGGTTTGTGTAATGTATCCCCTCGTTATCATGTCCCAAAAGTTAACATTTTCAGCCCTCAAAATATATTGATTTTTTTTTGCATTACATGATAGTTTCAGAGCAAGAAATACACATTCATAGGACTAGAAAATAAACTTTATAAATATGTTACTGAGTGTCAGTCATAAAATTTACTTTACAAAATTACTTAAAACTACTTAAAGCAAGATTTATGTTTTTTTTCTTTAAGTGCTGATAGGAAAATGAAAAGGAGAATTACTATATTGACAGTTCTTAACTGAACCTGTAAATATGGCTACTTTAATATTGATATGAATTATGGTTGTATGGAATAATACTTAAGAGTAAGATACCCCTATATACCCCTCTCCAGGGGCATTTTATGAAATCAGTAGGCCCCTGTACAGGGAGTATGCCCAAGACATTTCTGAATTTCTCACAGATATTTATTTTTGCATTTACCAAATGGGTAAAACAAAATGCTTTAATAATATATTTATTTAAGGACAAAAGGAAACAAAAAACACCTAAAATAACATTAAATATACTAAAGGCAAATAGACTTTGCACTGTGCAATTGCAGTTGCACTCTGCAAGGGCATTTGCTCCAGAGCTTAGTAAATGAGGGGTACCTTTGCTAACATCCATCATTCAATCATGTGCAAGCAAAAACTCATTTTTTTTTTAATTCCTGCCATGCGGTTGGTATTCTTTGCAAATTAAAGCTTTATCTCATTTACTAAGCTCTGGAGAAAATGCCAACAGCAAAGTGCACAGTCTATTTGCCTGTAGTAAATCAAACACTTTGGGGTTGATTTACTAAAATGGAAGAGTGCAAAATTTGGTGCAGCGGTGTATAGAAAGCGACCAGCCTATCAGCTTCCAGGCTTTATTGTCAAAGCTGAACAAGCTGAAATTAGAAGCTGATTGGCTAACATGCTGAGCTGCAACAGATTCTGAGTGCACGAGTTTTAGTAAATCAACCCCCATGTGTCACTAGAAGTTGAGGTAATAGCAGGTGGATTGATGTGGCTCAGTGTCTACGAAAACATTGTTGACTTGGGTACAGGAGCAGACTGGCAACTCATGGGGCCCATGGGCAATAGGGGATCATGGGGCCCCTGTGTCCTTGCCCAAACTTAAAAAAGCCTATGAAAAAGGTACCAGGGGCATCTCATGGGGCCCCCTACTGACCCCTGGCCCTCGGGCAGTGCCCGAGTTTTCCAAATGGTCAGTCTGCCCCTGCTTGAGTAACTGATAACAAACCTCTACAACCTACTTTTTATGGGAACTATCAAAGACCCATCATTCTCATGAAACCCATAATATATATTTATATTATATTTATATATATTTTTGATGTTATAAAATCAATTAAAACCAGAAAAAACACCCTGTCCAATCAATAGGGAATCGTAGTCTCATATATCAAAACGTTTGTTTCTTATTAAAAAAAAGTAAGTATTGTAATAGAGATAATAATTCATTCAGCTATGTCTTTTCCCATTGCCAGAATACACTGAAATGCATGCTGTATGGAAATCTTTTTATCTATTGAACAAAATTATATTCACTTAGCACACTTACAAAAAGAAATTCCTTGACATAGGTGGTCCTTTGAAAATGACTCTGCATCCACTGGAGAACATTTAGGCCCATCATTTGTGCGGTAAGTTTCTTATGTGGACATGTTATGTGAAGTACCCAATGAGACTTCAGATTCAGTTGAGCCAAATAAACACATCTTGTTTTTTGAATATTATAGACATATGTAAGTGTCTAGACAGATTATTTATCAATGTATTTTGTTAACTGTGCATGTTTTTTTTAACATAAATAATGTATATGTTTATTAGGAGTGCAAGTCTGTGGTTTCAAGGTAGTCAGCTCTTATAACCAGCACATTTAGGCTCTCTACAATAATCACTGTGTGATCAGAATCTGCAGCATGCTTCGTTTAATCTAATCATCAATATTTTACTTCAAGCATAGCTGCAGGTTGGCGTTTCATTGTTTTACTAGTCACATCAAGTTGTCACAATCAAGATGGTAAAACACACAGAAAATTTATCCTCCTGCTAAGTATGAAAATAAATTATTGATTTTAGCATTCAACGATATGGCCAGATATTATTTGTGTCCATGATTTTATAGTCTCACTAGTCATTGTGCACATTTGTAATGTGCAGTGCAATGTGTGCTTCCTTTTCTATTTTTTTGAATCTTTATACCATAGGAAGTAAAAATGGAGAACAGAAATACAAAAAAGATGCTATGTAATCTTGAAATAGCTAAGCAAATTACATTTTTTGCAAATGCTTTGTGTTGAAAAAACCACACATTTTCTGTAGTGCAGAGACACATGGTAAGGGCAATAAATATTTCCAATGCTAGTATATTTACAGGATAAAGAACAGTGTTTATAGTGTAGTAATCCATACTAACAAATTCAGCACTCATTAGGGAGATCTCCAGGTATTATATGCAGATAAATGTGAGGCACTAACTATGTTTACAGTCCAATTTTTTTGTCTTTTCCCAGATACAGCTCTCTTGTAACTGTGCAGGGAGAACAGTGATATCATTAGCTTAATGCTTCCGGTCCATGTGTTCTCTACTTCTGCTCCTCACTAATGGAATTAGTCATTGGGGTTGCCATTTGCTGCAACTATATCTGTTAATAAAATATTGGATAGAGAATAGAGATGTGCATGGCCTAGAAACGTTACGCTAAAGTTACTACTATGCTATCTTTTTTGGAAGAGCTGTAACTGAGAGAGAACAATGTTTAGAGTAAGCATGTTTAACACTTTAAACGTATTGCCTGCCAGGGCTGGATTTATCATTAGGCACAGACAGCTGGATCCTGGTCTATTAAAGAAGTGATGACAGTGCTTCTATGACTGCGCTTATATTGGAGAACGGTACATTTTTGAGCTCTTACTAACCCTATAACTGGCCATATACAATATGTAGTGGTTTAATACTGAAATCAAACTTGCATTCAACTACAAAGAGGTGGCGGCAAAATTGCCATGATTAAACCCAGTAAAAAATCCAATTTCCTCAAAATTGCAGTAGTTTTTTTTTCCATTATCAAGGTAATCTTGCAGTAAACTGTCAATTTAGTTCCCAGTTTTTAATCCACAACTGACTCAATGCTTGTGGTCAATCAAGCCCATGAGATTACTTATTTTTCAGCGATTTTGTGCGACTGTGTGTGCGATTTCCAAGTGGATGGAAATTGGTTGAAGTTGACTGAAAATTGCCACATCTATGATCATCTTTAGTTAACTTTATTTACTCATAAATATATCGTCGTTCTCTTCTTTTTTTTGTTTTTGCTTGTTTTGTAGCAAGAAACATAATTTATATGGTGACATATAATTATGAAAGTTAGATATTATAAGTGTGACAAAAGATAGAAAAAAAATTAACAGTAATATTATTTGTCTCAAAAACAGCTCTGGGGAAATCAGAGAACATTTTTTTTATTTTCCTATGTTTACCTGTCAATAGTTTACATAAAACATGCAATCATTTTTTGCAAATTAATTTTTCATTAAAAAAAATTACTTAATTATGTGTTGCATAATTATTACTGAATTGACCCTTTTACTGTCAGAGCCTCCGACTGGAGTAAAAATGTAAACAAATTGCTATAGCAGTTGGAATCTGTTTACATACTTGTGTTTCCGCCAACATAATAGTTAGGTCAACAGCAGAAAAAGGGTTAAGTGGTGCATAGTAGAAATGTAAGAATTGCTCTAGTGTATAAGGGGTATACAAGCGTGAGCTAAATCCTCCTCCAGCCACTTATTCCTCTGTCCAAGTGTTCCATTAAAATGGTAAAGAAAAAAATAATAAAAAATAAATTAATAAAATAAAATATTTAAAGCAACTCAATCGATGCTTGACTTTGTGTGTGGCCTATACAAGTGAAGAGATGGATGCTGCTCAACTGACCCTAGCAGTCCAATATTGAGGATTGGCCTCTGTGACCAAGCCCCAGTGGGTGGGTGGTGGGGCGAAATGCATCAGCAGGCATGGCCAGGACAGTGACTGAGGCCATTCCTCAATATTGTACTCCTTTGGTTAGTTGAACAGCATCCATCCCTTCACTTGTATTGGCTGACACTGGAATAGCTTGGACTCATGCTCCCCTCTTCTCACTTGCCGGTGGGGTGACCCTTTTCCTTCCATCCATAGCTTGGAGCGGCACCATATGGTATACTTTTTCACTTTGTGTGTGGACTGTTATTATGAGTAGGGCTTTAGATAACATTTATAAATACAATATGATCCATATAGTAAACTTGGTGCAAATGTATTCACTTTAAGGTCATTACAAAGGACAAGGGAGAAACTCTTTGTGTTTGAAGGAAATTAGGTTTAATCTCTAGATATGAAAAGGCTTCTTTACAGTAGGTGCTGTGAAAACTGGAAAAGGCTACCTTAGGGGTTAAAAACTATCAAATAGCAAAGGACTACTATCTAAACATTTAACCATACAACATATACAAAATATAAAATACAAAGTATAAAATTAGAAAAATATACAAATAAAAATACAAAATATAAAATACACAAAATATAAAATTATAATTGTGTAATAAACTTGACACATAAGTGTTAAAACAACACCCAGTGAATAAGTGTTCAGTTGTATAGTCTCTGTGGTTTTAAATCACATCCACAACATTCCTAGGTGATTTTAACCACTTGAGGTCCAGAGGATTTTACCCCCTTCATGACGAGGCCATTTTTTTTTACTTTAACTGGTAATTGCGTGGGGATGCAGCACTGTATGCAAACAAAATGTATATCTTTTTTACAAAGAGAGTTTTCTTTTGGTGGTATTTCATCACTATTTTTTTCTTTTGTGATATAAATGAAAATAGACCCACCAATTAAAAAAAAGCAATATTTTTTACTTTCTGTTATAAAACATATCCATGTATGTATCCATATCCATGTATTCTGCTACATGTCTTTGATAAAAAAAAATCCCGATCCCCGGTGTATATTGATTTGTTTGCATGAAAGTTATATCGCCTACAAACTATGATACACAGTATATACTGGAATTTTTCTTTTTTTATACTACTAATGGCGGTGATCAGTGACTTATAATGAAACTGTGATATTACATAAGGCAATATGACACTAACTGATCTTTGGGGGAGCTGACTAACTGCCACTGACATCACCAGTGACATTATAGTGATAATATCACCAGTAATAATATTATTCACTGTCACTGTGCTAATGCCACTGGGTGGGAAGAGGTTAACATCTAGGGCGATCAAGGGGTTATATGTGTAATGTGTGTAAAGTGTGCTGCTTTTTTCAGAGATCTCTAAGTTTCTCATCCCTCTTTTGCAGGGATGAGAAACACAGAGAATGGTCCCTCTGTAAAGAGCTCTGTGTTGATTGTCAGCACAGGGTTCTGGGCTGTGATTGTACACAGTAAATTAGCAGGTACTGGTCATGAATAATTGGCCAGCCAGGACTTGCTGGCAGGCTCCAATCATGGTGGGTGCTGACCAGGAGTAGGCAGCAATGTACAGGTACGTCGCTTTGCTTACAGCTGCTGCCCGCCTGCAGTACATTGCGGTGGTCGCAAAGTGATTAAAAAATAGCAAATAATGAATTTATGCATCTTGTGCCACACACTTCACCACTCTCCAATTCAGATGTGCTTTGACCCATATATTTTATAAATGTGTATATATTAAGGTGAGAGCACAGCTGATTGTGCGGAGCACCGCTGTAAAAGATTAATACCACACAATAAACGTGCAAGGACTAAAAACAGAAAAAACAAAAAGCCCAGCAGATTTTAAATGAAAAATACTTCTGTGCTACCCACTATCAAACAACTAAAGTTAATTAAAGTCCAACAAAAGTGCAATAACTGAAGGACTGCAGGCATCTAATTGTGCTTAACTGCCTCCTGCCTGCCATAGTACAATGACGGGTGCAAGGCGGTTCTCTCGTTCTGGGAGGACATCATATGACATCCTCCCATTCTAACCATGCATGCGCGGCTTCGGGAGCGCGTGCAGCACGGCGATCAGCAGTGCTCTGTGTCCCTTGGACACAGCAGATCACTGATCAATGGAAAGAGCCGACGATGTCGGCTCGGTCATGTCCAATCACAGCTGATCGCATGTAAATAGGGAAATGCCGGTTATCTGCATTTTTCTCCTCATGAGCTGTCACGCTGACAGCTCGAGAGGAGAGGCGAGGCGGTAATCGGCATCCCTCAGAGGGGACATGTACACTGATCATCAGGGCACTGATGATCTGTGTGCCCTGATGATCTGTGTAGTCCCAGCAGTGCCACCTGTCAGTGTCCATCAGTGTCAGCTGTCAGTGCTCATCCATGCCACCTGCCAGTGCCCATCAGTGCCACATCAATGCCACATTTCAGTGCCTACCAGTGTACATCAATGCCACATATCAGTGCCCAGCTGAGCTGCCTTTCAGTGTCACCCATCAATGCCAGTCATTGCCACCTATCAATGCCAGTCAGTGCCACCTATCAGTGCTGCCAATAAATGCCACCTATCAGTGCCAGTCAGTGTCACCTATCAGTGTGCATCAGTGCTGCCTATCAGTGACCGTCAGTGCTGCCTATCAGTGCCGCCTAACAGTGCCAGTCAGTACCACCTAACAGTGCCAGTCAGTGCCATCTATCAGTGCCAGTCAGTGCCGCCTATCAGTGCCACCTATCAGTTCCGCATATCAGTGCCATATATGAGTGCTGCCTTTCAGTGCCCATCAGTGATGCCTGTCAATGCCCATCATTGCCCCTACCAGTGCCTCCTCATCAGTGCCCATCAGTGCCACCTATCAGTGTTCATCAGTGCAGTCTATCAGTGCCCATCACTGCAGCCTCATTAGCGCACATCAGTGAAGGAGAAAAATAATTTATTTACAAAATTTTATAACAAAAACTAAGAAAAAACTTTTTTTTTTCAAAATTTTCAGTGGTTTTTGGTTGGTTTAAGAAAAAATAAAAAACCCAGAGGTGATTAAATACCACCAAAATAAAGCTCTATCTATCACAAAAAATGATAAAAATTTCATATGGGCACAGTGTTACATGACCACGCAATTGTCATTCAAAGTGCAACAGCGCTGAAAGCTGGAAATTGGCCTGGGCAGGAAGGGGGTATAAGTGCCCTGTAGGCTAGTGGTTAAATAAAGAGTAAACAGGTGGCGCACACACCTAGTGCATTATCCAAGGTTTATTCAAAAGTATAAAAGACAAAACATACTCACAGATGAAGCATGTATAAAACGTTTTTGCATTAAGAAGATGGCCACAACGGCAGGCAAGGTGTTCCAACTGTCAGTGCGGTCAAATGGCTGACACGTTTCGGGGGCGAGTCCCTTTCCTCAGAGCTGCTGACCAATCTCTCAGACTGGTTCAGATGTGATGTTAATGAGGTAGACCGATTGTTAGAACAAAACGATGCTACTGTTGATACCTGGATGGGATTGTGTGGGTGAGAGCAGAAAAAGTGTGGAGAATGGCTATTGAAACGCACGCCAATGCACTATATCTGCTCTCACCCACACAATCTCATCCAGGTATCAGCAGCACCACCGTTTTGTTCTAACTATCGGTCTACCTCACTCACATCACATCTGAACTAGTCCGAGAGGCTGGTCAGCAGCTCTGAGGAAAGGGACTCATCCCCAAAACGCGTCAGGTATTTGACCACACTTACAGTTGGAACACCTTGCCTGCCATTGTGGCCATCTTCTTAATGCAAAATCTTTTTATACATGCTTCATCTGTGAGTATATTTTTGTCTTTTATACCTTTGAATAAACCTTGGATAATGCACTAGGTGTGTGCGCCACCTGTTTACTCTTTATCTAGTGTTTGATCTCCACATCTGAGGAGGGCTGCACCCCTGAAGCATCTTCTTTTGGTTGCCTCTGTCCTGGTCCCCTTGGCTTTCCTTTGGTTGTTCATTTCCTGAAGCGCTGGAAAGTACACACAATATCTAATTATGTTTACACAAATCTAGGTACATGCACATAGTAAAAAGGATGTCAGGATGTCATGCCACCACTATCTTTCTATCTGTGTATAAAATAAAATATTAATCAGAATACCAATCAATAAATTTCCCATCAGCTGTCATGCATACATATTCATGTATGTTACAGTATGTGCAATATTATTTATAAAGAAAAAATAAATATATAAATAAAATTAAAATTAGTCCCATGTCATTTTGTTATCTCTGAGTTGTGTTATTGTCCACACGGAGGAGCCAACAGCCAAAGGAAGGAGTAAACAACAATACTCTTAAAAGGGAAGTGCACTCATAGACCTGAAAATGGTTGGGTCAATTGTTGGAGGTGAGGGCAATACCTGCATGGTGGTGGCAGTCACTGAAGTGGTGAAGAGTATGTGTAAAGACAGAAGTTAATCTTAGCAGAGTCACAGTGGTGTTTACGTGAAGGAAAATTGCACTTGTGCATTACAAGAGACAGCAAAACTTGGACTTATCGTTTATTATTGGGACTAATTTTTATTTACTTATTCCAATATTTATTTTGTTATTTATATATTTAGTTTTCAAATCCCCAGTGCTGAAAAATGGTGATCCTTTTAAACAACAATAAGTGGCAATTCTTTTTCTGCACCTCAGTGCTACCCTTCTCGTAGGTTCACTCGCCAGTTGAATTTGCCCCTTTATTGCTAATATCAAAATTAGCACCAATTTATTAATGAAGTAATTAGGGAAAGAATCATATAGCATCCTAAAAAGATTACTTCTTTAAAAGCACCAGAACACTCAAATTTGCTTTAAGCAAGCACATGTTTCAAGAGTCATCCAGACCTCCGGATATTGACACTCTTTCTAGCATAATGACATCATAGGCTCTGCATTTCATCATTACACAACTTCCTCAGGACAAAATGTTGGTGTTTTAAAAGAAATACATGTTATAAGAATTTTATGTTATGTGGTTCGTTCCCATATTATTTCTACTAAGCTGCAGGAGTATTTGGCTCTGAGAGTTTCATTTTGAAAAAGTGATTTGTGAATCCATGAACTTACTTAAAGGGAAAAATATCAAACATGATCCAGAAAGGTTAGTTTTGACCTTTCTTATAATTAGGGGTCAATATCAGCTAGTGAGTGAGTCTACAGGGTAGCCTTGAGGTGATGCACAAAGATGTAGTATTATAAGGACTACCAGGTATTTTTTTTTTTTTTTAAGGATTGTTCATAATTTGGGGATTTTACATAGTGAAGTGTATTTTGAAATTGTTGCTGCTTTTTGTGCATTACTTTCAATGTATATATTTTTTTTCTGTTCATGTCCTAATTGTTGCTTTTTTATTATGGGCTATTTATTTTTTATTTGGGAACAGAGTGGTCATTAGTTAAGCACTGGGTATTCAATGATTAGATTATATATAATATGTGATAGAAAAAACGGCAGCTATATGTGTTTATGTTTGTAGCTATATTTGTAAGCATGGTGATGTATGTGTGAAGAATTCTATATAAAAAGTAAAAATAATAGAATAACTGATTAAAATCCTGTAAACATAAAGCTGAACTACAGGCAGATAAAACAAAAAATAAATTATTATAGATATTATTCATTGTACTCTCCCAATCTATACCTTCTCGATTGGTCAGTTGATAACCTCTCATGGCTTTCAATACCATTTCTACTCGGACTACACCCAAATCTATACCCTCTCACTCCATCAGTTTTCATCTGCATCACTAATCTACTAATGGACATATCAGCCTGAATGTCACACCACTTCCTCAAACTCAATCTATCCAAAACTGACCTCATAATATTTCCTCCCCCCACATGCCTCCACCCCCGACTTCTCTGTCAGCATTGAAGGCACAACTATCAACCTGTCCCCACATGCCAAGGTGCTATGTGTTATCCTGGACTCTGAACTATCCTTTTGGCCCCACATCCAATCCAAAGCTTGCTGCCTCAACCTACTCATCATCTCCAAAATATGCCCCTTCCTAACCAATGACACTGCAAAGCTTCTAATTCACTCCCTGGTCATCTCTCGCCTTGACATAGGCTATCCTCTCTTCAGTCCATCATGAATGCTGCTGCCAGACTCAACCACCTTACCAACCATTCAACGTCTGCTACCTTTCTCTGCCAATTCCTCCACTGGCTTCCACCCTCCTAATGCATTCAGTTCAAAATACTAACAGGGGCGGACTGATCATTTGGAAACTCGGGCACTGCCCGAGGGCCCGGGGTCAGTAGGGGGCCCAATGAGATGCCCCTGGTACCTTTTTCATAGGCTTGTTTGAGTTTGGGAAGGAAACAGGGGCCCTATGATCCCCTATTGCCCGGGGGCCCCATGAGTTGTCAGTCCGCCCCTGAATACTAACAAATTACAAAGCCATTCCAGCTAAATCACTACCCACTCTCAAAATATTAACCAAATCATTCTCTTTGTTCCATCCAAGACCTTCTGCTCTCTAGCTCCCTTGTCAGTTCCTCCCATGCTCACCTCCAGGACCTTTCCTTAGTCTCTCCCATTTTATGGAATTCCCTACCCAACTGTCTCCTACTCTGTCTAAATTTAGACAAACCCTGAAAACCCATCTATTCAGACAAGCCTTTCCTGTTCCCACCTAATATCTGTACTTTATTTTCTCCATCAGCTCATCCCCCACAGTTATAACCTTTTATATCAATTGGCCCTCCCCTTTAGATTGTAAGCTCTAACGAGCAGGGTCCTCTGGTTTCCTACTGTATTAAATTGTAATGTAGTTGTCTGCCTTCACATTGTAAAGCACTGAGCAAACTGTTGGTGCGATATAAATCCTGTATACTAATAATAAACAGTAAACGGATACATTTTTAATGAATTAGACTTTTTAACTGCATTTGACTTGGTATCGGCCTCCTGTAAACTCTTGTTCAGCAGAACACATATTTGGAAAAGGAGGGTCTGTAAGGCTCCACTGTGTAAAAATATGTTGACAAGGAACATGAATACAGGAGGAGAGAGTAGTATGAACAGGATGAGAGCATTAGTATGCTGCTGAAGTGCAGTATAAAAAGTCAGGTCACAAACCTGGCTCTGCTTTCTGGCAAGGTGTGTAAATCTGAGCATTAGCTAGAGAGCAATGCAAATCCTTTGGTAGCTGAAACAACTCCAACTTATATATTTCAACTGAATATTTTGCTGTTTGGAGCTCAGCTTTATAAAAACCAAATTGTACAATCCAAAAACATTATAATTTTAGTTTAAAGCATGCCTTCTCTCATCAGCCTCTGTATAGATATACAAATTTGAAATTTCCTTCTAAAAAAGGTTGTTTATAAAGTGCATGTGCCTTAATAATATTGAATACACCTGTACAAATACCAGAATTCAGAATGTTTCAGGAGTAACCTGATTATTGTTTTACAAATGACTGAACTGTGACATGATATTAAACATTGTTTACTTTGAGGTTGCAACCAAGCTTGGCACTTGAATGGTTGATAATTTACCCAGAATTCCCTAAAACTTTGACAAAAACATATAAATTAATGACCTTTAACTGTATAAGAATGACATTCTCAATATCAAAGCTAAGAGCATGATTTATTTTTCCTAGTGCCGTAAGATCCATAGGCAGGTCTACAATTAATGCAAGTTAACAATTATGTTCTGTGGGAAGTGATTACTGGAAAACAAGAATATAAGCGGTTCAGCACATTCATCAAATAATCTGCTAATGTTCTAACGTTCCTGCTGTGAATCTAATTGCTTTCTGTGTACCTGTTAAAAAGTTTCATTTACTTAACATTTGCTCGTTTTGTCTCCTAGATTGTGAGCTCGAAAGAGCAGGGCCCTCGAACCCCTCGTGTATTGTATTGTACTGTTTTGTCTCATGTTCTGTCCCCCCGCTATTGTACAGCGCTGAGCAAACCCTTTTGTGCTATATAAATACTGTATAATAATACTTGATGCATGTAAATCACCATTCGAACTTACATTCCAAATGATTAAAGAGGAGGTCTATGTCATGGGCTTTATTTTGGATGTAAGGTGCATAGGTAGGTAAATTAGGTTCACCAACTCTAACAAGTGTAAGATGTATGAACATGAAGGTAAAATAGGTAATAATGGCCACCATTGAGCAACACCACTTTTTTAAGGAAAAGATAGTTTTAATTTTTTTTTCCAAACCAGATTTTCTAAGTGTTATAATTTACAGTAAGTATTTTGTATCTCTTTAGAATTAGTAATAAGGAAATGTTTCAAATTTTAGCTTAACAGTTATAATTGCAAATATCTTTATAGTGAACCTTCAAAGAATTAATGAATCAAGCAAATCCCCCCCGCCATCCTCAGATTAGCAGGTTTTTAAACAGCACTGTCCTTATCATTGTCTGCATTTACTGACCTGATTCCCTGTTCCTATGAGATGGCTTAGATGTCCAATTTCTGAGGCAAGGAACACTTATTTTTTTCATTATCCTGATTGGAGTATATGTAGTGCAAGGTCTAAAATGCATACAAACATCACCCAGGCTAAAGTCATAATTCTCTATTGAAGGGTCCAAGAGGAATGACAGCTGAAAATGCTGTCTTTGATAGCAATTATTCACCTGACATCTAGTTATCTCATTTAGCTCTCTTTCCCACACTAAGTATCAAGTTGATCCAGGCTGTGTCTTACTACCATCTTGCTTAACACTGTAAAGCTCTGGATTGGAATAACCTCCTTTTTCCGGAGCTTCTCTCATATATCATTCCATTGTCACCATATGTAGGCCTATTTGGTATATTGAATATGAAGGCAAGGACACAATGTACCAAAATATTTTGGAGAGAAGCCCCACTCACCAGAAAGTCAATTGCTCGCAAATAAATTACCTCTCCAGTGTTTGCCTTGAATGTATGAAAATATCATTAACTTGACTATATTGCATTAAAAAAAATAAAACCATTTGAACAGAACTTGCCCTGCTATTAGGTATGGGGGTCTTGATGTCTTTCTGCAGACCATACCAGTGATGTTTCCTTCTTAACACCCAGAAATGTTTTAGAAAAGCAAAAGTCTGAAATCAAATCTTATTCATTTATTTTAACCATCTCCCGCCCACCATATAGTACAATGAGGGGCGCAAGGTGGTTCTCTCGTTCTCGTTGGGAGGACATCATAGGACATTGTCCCATTCTAACTGCGCATGCACGTCTCCGGGAGCGTGCAGCGTGGCGATCGGTGGTGCGCTGTGTCCCTCGGATACAGTGGATCACCGATCAATGGAAAGAGCCAAAGATGTATAGGATTTTGTGTCCAATCACAGCTGATCTCATGTAAATAGGGAAATGTCGGTTATCGGCATTTCTGTCCTCACGAGCTGTCACGCTGACAGATCGAGAGGAGAGGAGAGCCAGTAATCCGCATCCCTCAGAGGGGACATGTGTACTGATCATCAGGGAACTGATGATTAGTGTGCCCTGATGATTTGTGTAGTCCCAGCAGTGCCACCTGTCAGTGTCCATCAGTGCCAGCTGTCAGTGCTCATCCATGCCACCTGCCAGTGCCCATCAGTGCCACATCAATGCCACATATCAGTGACTACCAGTGCACATCAATGCCACATATCAGTGCCCATCTGAGCTGCCTTTCAGTGTTACCCATCAGTGCTAGTCAGTGCCACCTAGCAATGCCAGTCAGTGCCACCTATCAGTGCTGCCAATCAGTGCCACCTATCAGTGCCAGTCAGTACCGCCTATCAGCGTGCATCAGTGCTGCCTATCAGTGCCAGTCAGTACCGCCTATCAGTGTGCATCAGTGCTGCCTATCATTGCCAGTCAGTGCTGCCTATCAGTGCCGCCTAACAGTGCCAGTCAGTGTCACCTAACAATGCAAGTTAGTGCCGTCTATCAGTGCCAGTCAGTGCCACATATCAGTGCCACCTATCAGTGCCAGTCAGTGCCACCTATCAATGCCAGTCAGTGCCACCTATCAGTGCTGTCAATCAGTGCCACCTATCAGTGCCAGTCAGTACCGCCTATCAGTGTGCATCAGTGCCGCCTAACAGTGCCAGTCAGTGCCACCTAACAATGCAAGTCAGTGCCGCCTATAAGTGCCAGTCAGTGCCACCTATCAGTGCCATATATGAGTGCTGCCTTTCAGTTCCCATCAGTGATGCCTGTCAATGCCCATCAATGCCACCTACCAGTGCCTCCTCATCAGTGCCACCTATCAGTGTCCATCAGTGCAGCCTATCAGTGCCCATCACTGCAGCCTCTTTAGCGCACATCAGTGAAGGAGAAAAATCACTTATTTACAAAATTTTATAACAAAAACTAAGAAAAACTTTTTTTTTCAAAATTTTCAGTGGTTTTTGGTTTAACAAAAAATAAAAAAACCCAGAGGTGGATACCACTAAAATAAAGCTCTGTTTGTCTCAAAAAAATGATAAAAAGTTCATATGGGCACAGTGTTGCATGACCGCGCTATTGTCATTCAAAGTGCAACAGCGCTAGAAGTTGGAAATTGGCCTGGGCAGGAAGAGGGTATAAGTGCCCTGTAGGCAAGTGGTTAACATCTATTGTAGTTGTGCCATATTTAAAGTGGAGCTTCAACTAAAAGGGGAAGTTCCGCTTTAAGCCTTTTTCCCCCGCTCCCCATTAAGGATTAGCACCTTTGAGGAGCAGGGGGGAAGCGGGTACCCCAATTTGACAGGTACCCGCTCCCACTTCCGCTGCGTTCGCCTAGGCTATCAGAAGAGAAAGTTGTCCTCCCCCCTCTCTCCCTGTAGTCTTCTGGGACACGTGACAGATCATTCACAAAGCGCACCGCTTCTCGCACATGCGCAGTGGGCACCACAAGTGAAGCCACAAGCTGTCACAGCCGGGCACCCACAGTGAAGATGCCGGCGCCAAGGAGAGAAACCAGCTGTGGCGAGGACACCGCTGGATCGAGGGACAGGTAAGTGTCTGTATTTTAAAAGTCAGCAGCTACAGATTTTGTAGCTGCTGACTTTATATATTTTTTTCATCTGTAAATCTGCTTTAACAAAAAAGGGTAACTAGACACACCTATAGACCACAAAACTAAACCACTGCCTTGCAGGTAGCAGCAGTGTTGTCACCATGCACACTCCTTCAGTTGGCTTTTGGACATCTTGTTGGGTCTATCAGATAGGAATCCCAATCATCAAATGAATGTGCAACCATAATAGGGTTAAAAACTGATGCTAATTGAAAGCTAGTAGGTTAGCTTTTCAAGCAACAGGAAGTGTTGCTACTGGCAGAATCTCCAGGTAAAAAAAAAAGCTTTGCAACACAGTTACAAAAGCAACTTTGCTTAAAGAATAAGTATACGATAAAATGGGATGTTAAACAATAAAACAAAGATTACAATTTATTTTTCTGAATTCCTTTAGAGATCAGAGAGGTTGATCTGGTCAATCTGGGTTGCAGTGGGGATTGTTTGTATGTTTGTATGTGCTCCATCAGATGATTCTCCCTGTGAACAGTTTTTGTATCCCTTAAACAGCCTGCTGCTCACACAACACCCTGATCCATCCCCTATAGAATATATATATGTATGTCCAATGCAAATTTGAATACTTGGAAAAAGATCATAAATGAGTTGCACATGGATAGCCAGTGACCATCTAATGTTTGTAGACACTTTTATTTAGTGTAATCTGTGACATATTACAAAATAAAAGTAAGTACACTGAGCGCTCAATATTTATGAAGTGAATAAAATTATAAAATGAATTGTATACACAGCAGCAAGTTGCACCAACATAGGCCTCTAGGCACACTCCTTTTGAAAATGTGCTATTGCACGAAACATGTTAAGGAGGAGCCCTAACATCGTGACGTCATGCAGCTGGAGCCGCACGAAGCTCCGGCGGCCATTTTGAAAAGTGGCTGATACAGTCACACGAGTTTTGTGCACTTTACTTTTATGTTTTATATATTCCAAATACTTGGGATATTTTTATTCAATTTGTTTGATTGACTTTTATGGATGATAATCCTCAATAAATGAAAGCTTTATAAAGTACTACACTATACGTCTTTTTTTTCATATATTGCTTGGCTCTGAGCCAACTGCTCTTGGAGACCCCCAGAAGAAGTGTGGCTGTACATGAAGCTGATGTCCGGATGAAGGATCCTTGCTCTTGGCTGGCTGTTCCACTTAAAAGGGCCTCTGCGGAGGTTTATTGTCTCAATGCACAATATCTGTGTGCATATGGTGAGTGCCCATTTTATACATTGATGCACGGAGTCACATCACAAGGATTATCATTGAGAATTATCTATGAAGTTGGATTCTAACCACTTGGTTTTGCTGACCTTCCTGAGTCAAGCCTGCATGCTTTTTAGTTTTCAATAATTTTTATTGAAAGATTTTATTACAGAACATAGTATGAAAATACGGTTTGTGGTCAAGTATAACAATATATCTTAGTGTGAAATAAATTGTATATAATGGGGACATTATATACATAGATAGCGTTGACATGAGAGGTATGCTCAGTTTGGTGTGAACCGTATATGGGTGTGTATGTTATATAAAGGGGGTAAAGAACAGGGATGGAAGGGTATGGTGGGAGGGTGACGAGACCACCAGTCTAGGGTAAGGGGTCTTGGTATTTTACAGTTAATTTATCAGCATTTTACGAAACAATTTGGGTTCTGCAGCCATCGAGACCACTGGAATTTGAATGTGTGGTAGGAGGAATTGTTGAGGGCTGATCTTCTTTCCATATCACATTGGAAGTTAAGATCTGTTATAAGTGAGGTGAGGGAGGGAATTTGGAAGAATTCCATAATTTAGTAAGGTTGATCTTAGCTGCCGCTAATGTGTGGATAATAATGGTACGAGAATCTCTAGGAAATTTGTCAATTCCAATGTGGAGGAGTGCAAGAGCAGAGTTTGGTGTTACTGGGGTTTCAGTTAATATTGAGATCAATTGGAAGACGCTATTCCAGTAAGATCTGAGAGATTTACACGTCCATAATATATGAAGTGTTGAGCCTGTTTCTCCGCATTGTCTCCAGCAAGAGGATGAGTGTTGAGGTAATACAAAGAGAGTTTAACTGGTGTTAAGTACCATTGATGTAAAATTTTCATGTATGACTCCCAGTGAGAGCTACATCGAGAAGCTTTGTGGGTGATATTAAAGGTTTTTTCCCATGTGTGTGGTGGTATTGGTTGTGAGAGAAGTTTCTCCCAGTTGATTAGGTAGGTAGTTTGTAGGGTAAATTGTGAGCTTATTGTGTGTGTATAGAAAATTGAAATACCTTTTCTCAGGTATTGTATTTTGCTAAGGAATTAGTATGAGGTGGTAGGAATTTTCAAGAAATGTGGAATGTTTACTTTTGTAAGGAGTGAGCTATTCTCAGGTGGGTGAATTGTTCAGTGTCGGAAAGGTTAGATTTCTTTTGAAGAATCGGAAAGGAATCTAAGTTGTGATTTGTGTAGAGGTCTTGTAGAATAGATATGCCGCAGTTTTCCCAATGTAGCAGGTTTAGGGAGGGAATAATGAGATGTAGTATAGTGATTGGGGTAGGTACCTGTTTGGTATCTGTCGAGTTAGAGGTTAGGAGATCATCCCAAGCTTGTAGGGAGACTTGATTGCATGGGTGTTTAAGTAGGTGTTTGGTTTGGGGTGTTTATGGTAAGAAAAGTATGTTATGTGGTGTGAGCGGGAGATGTGAGGGTGTTTCCATGGTAGACCATGATTTTTCTTTAGTTGGGTGCCACCAAAAATAAATTTGGTCAAGAAGAGTGGCATTGTAGTATAATTTTAAGTGTGGGAGACCTGCTCCTCCTCTGGATGTTGGGCGTATTAATAGATTTGTGGTACATCTGGGTTTTTTGTAATTCCAGAGGAATTTGGAAAGTATTGCTTGTAGTTTAGAGAAAAAGATATTGGGGATGGGAATGGGGAGTGTGCGGAATATGTATTGGATTTTGGGTAGTATGTACATTTTCAGGGTTGCTACCCTTCCCAGTTTCAATAGTGTTGATGTGTAAAGATTGTTAAGTTCTCGTGGGATGGTTTTGAGTAATAGTTTGTGGTTTGAGGAATATAGCTGACCTTTTGTAGTGGTGAGTTTGATTCCTAGGTAGGGGATGCTGTGTTGTTCCCAAGAGAAGGGAAATTGTTTTAGTACTTTTTGAGTTTTAGTAGGCATGTGGAGATTTAGGATAGAAGATTTGGGTTCATTGAGTTTGTAATATGATACTTCCAAATAACTTTGAAGATGTGAACAAATCGTTTGGAGTGATTTGTATAGGTTAGTTATCATTAATATTATGTCATCTGCAAATAAGCTAATTTTATGTTCTGTTTTAAGGTGGGTGATTCCTGTAAATGTTGGATCGTCTCTGAGTTTTGAAGCTAAGGGTTCAATGGGCAGCCTTGTCTAGTGCCGATGGAAATGTGGAAGGGCTGTGAAAGTGTGCCATCTGTTAATACTCTGGCTGATGGGTTGGACTAGAGGGAGAGGATTGCAGATAGCATCCAGTCTGTAATGCCGAATTTTTGTAGTGTTAATTGCATAAACTGCCATTGTATTCAGTCAAGTGTTTTTTCTGCGTCCAAAGATAGTAATAAGGAGGGTTGTTTGGTGGTTTCTAATTTGTGGAGGAGGGGTATGAGTCTTCTGGTTGCGTCCAGCGCTTGGCAACTAGGGATAAATCCTACTTCGTCTGGATGAATTAATGTAGGAATATGGGGAAGAAGTCTTTGGGCTATTGTTTTGGCATAAAGTTTTATGTCTGTGTTTATTAGTGAGATCGGTCTGTAGTTCTGGACAATTTGGGGGTCTTTGCCAGGTTTTGGAATAGTTGTAATTATGGATTGCAACATTTCTTTGGGGAATTCACCTGTAGAAGCGGCATGGTTGAAGAGGTTGGTTAGGAGTGGTGCGAGGTCAGGGACAAATGTTTTGTAAAATTCGTTAGTGAAGCCATTGTTTCCTGGTGATTTATTAAGAGGTAACATTTTTATGGTTTTTTCTATTTCTGTAGGAGAGATTGGAGTGGAAATAGAAGCGAGTTGTGATGGAGTAAGTTGGGGGAGATTCGTAGTTGGGTTGTGTCTGGGTCATCTTTGATATTACATAGTTTTTGGTAGTAGGTCACGAAGGCGTTAGCTATGTCTTGTGGATTTGTGAGAGATGCATGTGTAGTTGGGTGTCAAATTGAAGAGATTTTGGATTTGAGACGTCGCTGTTTGATTAGTTTTGTTAATAGTGAACTTGCCTTGTTACCTAGGGAATAAAATTG